GGACAAACATTATAACACATTCTTTTCGCATTAAAAGTAATAAATTTATTTTATTAATAAAAATATTTTCTTGAGTTTTAGGAAAACCATTAATTTGTACCTTTAATAACAATAATAATACATTATTTATAGCTCAGGGCCTAAACCCTCACAAGTGAACCACGGATACGACATTTCAGACATCGTCCCAAACTATCGGGCTTTTGAGGTGCACTCGTTTTCCCATTAATGGTCTATCACTACAATCTTAAGTATACAAAAGTACTGTACATTTATATACTGTACTCAATGTGCAGATCTACGGTTGTGGGCATGGAATGGACCTAATAATGTGTTCACTCATAAGCAGTAGAGTATACACTATTCGACTGAGCCGTCCGGTTGACGACCTCTTTGTGAGACCACCAGGAGATGGACAGTTGGCTCAGAAATTTATGATCGGATCACAGGGTTTGCCATACATTTAGTATATAGAAGAGTGACTTTCACGGCGTTCGACAATTTTTAGCTTCAATTCTAACCCTAATAATGATAAGGAATTAGAAAATTTATAACTTTCATGAATTTTTCTCCAATACTGTATAACATTAAAGCGAAAATGACATGAAATTCTCGCATTTTTCAATCATATTATAGACAATTTAGATAAAGACAACACAAAAACTAAAGCAAAACTCATTAATTATACAAGTTTTAAACTACGAAAAGAATAAATTAAGTTATAATTTACTTTAAAACAGATACAGATCTTTGTATTATTTATATATTAGTCTATTGAACACAAAATTCAAATTAGTTCAAACCAGTTGTTTATTCATATTTTGTCACAAATAAAAATTATTTAAAATGTCATAATTTATATTTATTTAAATTTATACTTAAATTACAATAAAATAAATATTTGAAAACAACAAATATGTTACATTAAAATAGCAATTATTCTATTTGTGATCACAACTGCAGTTTTGATGGCATTTGTGATTAGGAGTCCAATTGCCGGCCGATTGCGTGGCGTAGAAATCCATGGCATAACTGTTGGCCAAACCATTGTATTCATCGGTGACCGCATTCAACGACACATTCAATTCAAATGGAGTGATGAGTGGTTTATGAGTGAAATTAGTGCCCCAATCGATGCTAAGTCGCGGACACGCGATCTGAACCCAAGCGTCCACTTCGCCGAACACTGACAACACATCCGCTTTGATTTCGGGCAACAATACGCTAATTGTGTGACAGTTTGTGTACTTTTTAACGTTTTTGAGTAGATTGTTGAGCACTTGTGGGTTTCCCTGACGGCCTAATGTCCCCAAAATGATGCCAAAAACACCCGAATTGGCGCACACTTTGGCCGTCTCTTTGACGGCATTTCGCCGATAAGACAACATTTTGTTCATATCGTAAAACTCATGCGTAATCTCTTTGTTATACGGATTGTATCGAAAGGCATCGACTGCCGGATTGGCAATCATTATGGCCTCCAAATGGAAGCGTCCGTCCGCTAAGAACACAATGGCATTCACTTCTGGCGGCAGTTTGGGTGCCGTACAGCCCAACACTTCGCCGGGAGATAACGGCCGCGACTGTGGCGTCAAAACGCGGAAACCGTGTCTTTCGCGCAACTCTTTTGCCGCCGAATGCATGGCCGACACGAACTGAACGGTTCCAGCGATGGACAAGTGATGCGTTTGTGGATTGAAATTAGTTTTGACGGTTTCGATGAAATGCCATAAATCTATTTTGATGTCCACAAAGACGTACAACACTTTGATTCCGTTCACCATTTGGTTGACGGGAACCAGACATGAGTGACCGAAATGGACAATGAAATCGCAATCCATGGCGTCGGCCGTCAAGTCGTCGATACAACACGAGCCGTACGTCACGTCTTTGGCGGACATAAAAAACAAGAGATAATCAATGATGGGATCAATTGGTGGTCATTAACTCCGGTGACAATACCTCCCATAATAATGACATCAATTTGTGTGAACTCTTCGATGATATCTGCGATAGTGATGGCGAAGACGAAGAGTCCTTCGGGGAACTGAAGGCCAACCCTTTGAGCCGCCGATGACTTCAATCTCCAAATGATTTTATGAAATTCAAAGTTATAGTTCTTGGGAAGCGTTGAACTGATCCTCTCATTCAATAACTTGTTGTCCAGTATCTCCGACGGGATCTGACTCTTCGTCGGCGCATTCACTCGTCGACGAGTTTCCAATGGTTTCGCGCGAATCACCTGCGGATCAGTTGAAGACATGTTTTTGTCTTTCAATTGTCTTTCAATTCAATTCAAAACACACTTTAATTTCATGTTTACTCTCTTTTCACGTGTTTTGCAATGCATTCATAAATAACGACAAAAGTATCCAAAGTTTGTTTCGACACAAGTTTGCGATTTTTGGGATCAATTGATGACAAACCATGAGATATAGAGAATGAATGCATACAAAGAGGTAAGGGTTGACACAATTGTTTCCTCTAAATGCCAAACGCCAGCACTTGAGTCCACAAAATGACTTCACGTACTTATAACTACATTGTAGAGAAAGTATATCATACCTGTACCGTATAAATTGTGAAATCACCATCATGCAATCATGCAAATCATGATGATCCTGTGAAGTGACAGTGAAGTCATTTTGTCGATTCAAGTAATTGTCATTGAAATACACAGCAAATGGTTATTTGTTTGCCTGTTCTGTATAATACCGTTATTTTGTAATTATTCTAAAAATAGCTCTATTAGTAATAGACTATTACTATACAAGTTATTTGTGTTAATTATAAATGTACGGTACTTACAATTTTGTCTCATAAATATAAATTCAATTCATAAATATAAATAAATTCATTTAACTATTGATTGGTTATAAATATGAGATATTATGCAAAGTCAGGACTATTCAAATGGACAACAGTGTAGTAGTGGTCCACTATTAGTGGCATATAATTAGCAGTTTTGTTAGTCATTGATTATGAATCACCACACTTTCAAATTGATAGCCAATTGAGAACTTTATTAATTCTCAATTCAATTATTTAAACACCAAATACTGACAAAATGAATGAATTGATAAAATGGCAAATTTATATAAAAATTATTAGAATTTTATTTGTCATAATTTGAATTATAATCGATATAAACATAATTAATGAATAGTCAATGGAAAGCAAACTTACAGAACATTGAATGAAATGAAGCCATAATTGAAATCAATTTTGAAATTAAAGTAAATATTAATATAATATATAAATAAATTAAAGTTATAATCAATATTGAGGCGATTTTCTGTACAATACGTATATAAAAACCAAACCTAATATTCATTAAAACATAAATCAAATATTTTAATAAAACATTTCTATTAAAAAATTAGATATTTTTGGTTTAAATGAAAACAAAGTGAATGACTCGTTGGCGTCAAATGGATGGGAAGAGTGTCTTATCGGACGAGACATTCAACACACAGTTTCGAGGGTCCGATACAGTCTGAGTGACAATAAGCTCCGCATTTCTTGCAAATAGTCATAGGTTTCAAATTGCATGTGCCGTGCATTGAGTCCGTGGGCCCACTCCTGGCCACTGTCGGCTCCATAGGTGTCGGACTGATTGGAATAACAGTGATCTGAGAGGGAAGTCGCGTCTCTCCGCACAGATTTATAATATTATTCGACGAGTGATTCGTAAACTGATTTGAATTTGAGTTATTAGTCATAGTGATAGGCATTCTGATCACTTGCGGCACCGTATGGTTGGCCACCGAATTACAGGTCACTAAATTGGTTTCGGGCGACGACGAGACCGGTAGTATCCACACAGAGGACGGCGACAGTTGCGCGCCCGTCGTTGGCTGTGGCGATAGAGTCGAGTTGGAAGTGGTGATCACTGGCACCTGATTGATGGGCAAAATAGTGAGACCAGTGGGCAGTTTGTACGGCAACCGGAGGATCGCTTGTGTCGATTGGGGCGGACTCTGTCTCACGTGTTCACCAGTGGAGTGGGACTGTTGTGGAGGACCAGTAATGACCGCCACTTCTCGTGAAAAGGGGACATACATTGTTTGCTGTGTGTTATTAACTTGACTTAAATTAGTTTTGGGGGCTATTATTCTGGGGGTAAGCGTGGGATGGGTTGCACTCAAGAGTTGAGGTGACG